TCTAAATAGATAGATAGATAGATAGATAGATAGATAGATAGATAGATAGATATCATTAAAAAAAAAAAAACTTGGGCCTTTAAACGAGATGGTTTGTGAACATTTTTCTGTTGGGTTTTGTTTGTACAGCTATAATCTGGAGGAAACTATTTGTAGATTTAAAGCTACAGATGGAGAAAGCTTTTTATTTTGGGGCTTTTTGTGGAAACTAAATGTTTTTATTGTAAACATTTTATTAAACATAGTCAGATTTTTACAGAACATGGAGAAAACATTGTATTTGTTGTGAAATATAGTTCTTAGAGAATAGAAGAGAATAGGATGGGTCAAAACTTGGCGTTTGTTTTTATTCTCCCTCCAATCACTGCTTCTGGTTTGGCCTTGAACCGCCTGTAATTGTTTTCAGATAACTCTGTGCAGTCTGTGGTGTCCTTTGACCAGGGAGGGGAATGGGTTCCCCTGAGGAAACCTGCCAACACCAAGTGTGACGCAACAGCCAGAGACCCTAACAAAGTAAAAAAAAAACATAAAAAAAAACCGGATGACTGTCAAATAAAACTCAATCATTGTGTACATTTTTTTTAGCTTGACACTAGAAGCAGCGTGACAACAAACTGTTTATATTTTTATCTACAGTGCAGTCTCCACATCCATGCAGCTTACAGCACTGCTATGAAGCTGAAAGTCCCCATGCTGCCTCTGTCTGAGCCAAATGCTGTGGGTCTTATCTTAGCTCACGGTAATCACACCGACTTTACTGCGCTTACATGTTTTGTATATTAAATGTGGTTTCTCTTTGCCTGATGAAAATTTTAAAATGTTTTAACAGGCAGTGTTGGGGATGCCATCTCAGTGATGCGCTCTGACGTGTATGTGTCTGACGATGGTGGCTACAGCTGGATTAAAGCGCTCGATGGGCCACATCATTATGCTATCCTGGACTCGGGAGGACTGCTGGTGGCCGTGGAGGAGAGCAGCAGTGACCGCGCTGAACTTATCAACCAGATCAAGTGAGTTAGAGGCGTGTCAAGTACAGTATGCGCTCTTTATCAGGTTTTGTCTGACCAGCCAGGGTGTGATGGGTCTTTGAAAATGTTTGTAGCTCTGCTATCCTAGCGAGAGCAGGCTCCATTAAGGGACAGCATAAAGCAGCTCGTGATCCTGTGTGCGGTGTTGATGACTCTGAATAGATCTCCTGTCTGCTGCAGAGTACCCACCCCACACTGTAATGCAGTACACATTGTATTAAATCAAACTTCAACTCTGGGAAAATTATTGAGAACATGAGTTTCTGTTTACAGTCTGAACTGTTTTTTTTTTTGTTTTTTAACAGTAAATGTTTGTAGTTTAAAGTTCAAAAGTTGACTGGGAAATCTAAAAAAATTGAGTCTGTAGAAGTCTGGATTTTTGAAAAGTGACGCGTTGAAGGATCCTGTGATGTTCGGGCTGCTGTTGTTACACCGTATTGTTTTACGTTGTTGGTGTTTAGCGTATGATTGAGATCTTTTAGTGTACCGTTTGGCGTTCGTTTAACATATATCTTAGATCCTTATTTACTGTTTTTATTTTTATAATTTATATTTTGCTATTTTTGGATGTAACTGGGACCCTGTGAACATAATTTCGTTCCACCTCATGCACCACATGCGATGCAACTGACAATAAACTTGAACTTAAATGAATCTCTGTTTTCAAATGCCATTATTTCCTGCAGAATGATGGGCAACTTGATGTCTGATTCTATGTTATATCTGTGTGCGTACTTAGCAAATTTTACAGATTATAAAACCTTTTCAAAAAACGATGAGAGCAGGAATATAGTGTGAAATGTATCTTTCATGTCCTGACAGATTTTCCACTGATGAAGGGCAGTGTTGGAGTGTGTACAACTTCACCTCAGACCCAATCTACTTCACTGGGTTGGCATCAGAACCAGGAGCTCGCTCCATGATGGTTAGCATCTGGGGCTACAGAGACAACCTCTTAAGCCAGTACTGGGTCTCCTTCACCATCGACTTCAGGGATCTCCTCACCAGAGACTGTATGTGACACCAGATCATTTCTGATGTCAAAGAATAAACGGTTCCCTCATATTTTGATCACTTGTAAGAATTTGCTTGTGTTTCTAGGTGATGATAAGGATTACGTGCAGTGGTTGGCCCACTCCGACGACATCAGTGACCCGAACGACGGCTGCATGCTGGGTTACAAAGAGAAGTTTCTGCGCCTCAGAAAAGACTCTGTTTGCTGGAATGGACGGGATTATAAGCTTAATACGCAGCCAACTCCCTGTCCATGCACCCTGGATGACTTCCTGTGGTAAGACCGTTGACAGCGTCATCAGCCTGGTTAATTTTGGTGACTGCAAACGGTCAGCATCATGCAGCATTACGTTTATTCTTTTATATTAGAGACTTAAAAAGAAGTGAAACTAAATTACATTTTTATTAGATAGTGTTATTTAAGATGCTTCATTTTGACCCAAGTTATTATTTGGCTCAGCTCAATTTTTTTTAAGTGATTTGTGGCTTAAAACTAAACTTAAACACTTCATAGAACTAAACCAAACAGCTGAGTAATGACAGTGACAGAAAGTGTAATTTACATCCTCTAAACAAAAATACCATGATGTTGTTTTTTTAACTCTGCAGTGATTTTGGATATTACCGTAAAGAGAACAGGTCTGAGTGTGAAGAGCAGCCAGATCTAAAGGGCAAAGTGTTGGAGTTCTGTCTGAACGGTGAAGAGGAAAAGCTGATAACCACTGGGTAAGTATCATTAGACTTGCGTTCCTGAAAAACACAGATGGGTCAAAAAGCAGCACATCCTGTATGTGTCGGCTTGTGTTAGCGCCTTTAATTACTGATGCATTATAACTTGACTGACGATTTTGCGTGTTTGATGATTGTTTTTCCTCATTGAGTTTTATTTTACCCACAGGCTTGCTCAAGTGTTGGTTATTGTGGTGTTAATTTGGCTGTTTTTAAAAATTAACGTAAGCTAAAACATTAGAAGACAAACAAATAATCAGAACCATCTAAGTGACAAAACGAGAACGAAAACTTTTTGTATTTGATCAACGGATTAAAACTGTGTCTTTTGTAATTTCATAGGCCATGTGCATGCGTGTTTATAATGTCTGTGTGTGGGAGAAACATGTCGAGTCGTTTCATGATGAGCTATGTGACTTGGGTAAAATAATTAATTGACAAGTTTTTATCTAATATACTGGATGATGAACTGATAAAGATGAGCACTGACCAGATAAAAACTCATGTTGGTGGAACTCTAGTTTTTCTTTTATAAACAGTCATATATGTATTTTTTTTTTGTCTTTTTCACCGGTTTGTTTCTACTATGTTTGAAAGGAAACTAAATGTAACTAGAGAAATTGCATTTCCTACAAAAATCAGTATGAATGCTTATTGCAGAAGAACTTGCTGAAAAACAGCTGAAATGAGCTAAAAAAAATGTGGAATTAGCCGAAAAAGGTAAAATTAGCATTGAAAACAGCTAAACAATAGCTGAAATAGCAGAACAAGCTGAAACTAGCAGAAAAAAGCTGAAATTAGCAGAAAGAAGTTAATTAGGCAGCAATTCCCACCAAAAACTTGAATTATCTTAAATTAGCTAAAAAATGCTAAAAATGTAGCTGAACAGGTAGAACAAGCTTAAATTGGCAGAAGAAAGCTGAAAGAACATGTTTGCTGAAAGAAGCAGAAATTAGCACAAAAAAGTGGAAATTATCTGAAAAAAGCACAAATTAGCAACACAAAAAAACCCAGCTGAAAAGTAGCTAAAAAAAAGCAGAAATAAGCTTAAATTACCAGAAGGAAGTGAAGAGAGCACATTTTTGCTGAATTAGGCTGCAAAAAGTTTAAAATGAGCTAAAAAAAAGAAAAAAGTGGAATTAGCTGAAAAAGCTAAAACTATCATAAAAACTTGTTGAAATAGCAGAAAAAGCTGAAACTTAAGCTGAAAGGAGCATAACAAGCTGAAATTGGCAGAAAGAAATTAGAAGAAGCACAACAGTGTTGTAGTTAGCAGAACGAATCTGAAAGGAGCACAAAACAGCTGAAATTAGCTGAAAGTAGCTGAAAAAGTTTAAATTTGCACAAGGAAGCTGAACCAGAACAAAATGTGAAAGGAGCAGTAAAAGATTGTAAACACATCTAAAGATTTGAAGGATGTATTGTAAAATGAGCTCACTTAATTTCCTTTGAAGGAAAACAAGTGGCAGAAAAGGCTAAATATTTCAAAAAAGCTAAAGTTGCACCAATACCAAATGCCACAGCACACTTCTCCTGAAAGAGCTGAACATTTTGATATGATTAGTTGAAATAGCACAAAAACTGGAACGAGAAAGATGCTGAAAAACGTATGGAAGAAAAAAGGATCTCAATAGTGTGAATGCTTCATAAACATTCACACAATGATGCTGAGCAACAGCTTTGAGCTGTGTGTCAGAAGAAGAGAGGAAGTGTTGATTGAACGAGGAGGAAGTACTTGTCATGCAGTTGTTAGAGGAAGCAGATCTGGGTGCCGGTGAGTTGTAAAAGTGAACGCAGACCAAATGGAAACTTTTGACCAGTTTTACTCCCATAATAACAAACGTTAACTTGATTTCTCTTCATGGAAAGTTGGGAGGTCTGTTTAGTCAGTGCAGATTGATTATATAGTCTCAACATATATAAATCAGACTTTTAATGAACCGAAACAGATTACTGGTAAGTTGCAGATTATTAAAACAAACAAGTAATTTCTTAATGTCCTAAAACACTTTTTTTTTTTTTTTTTTTTTTAAATTAAAGCCACTCAGTCAAGTTACAAATCTTCAGTTACCTTTTCATAAAAATCACGTGTTTTCGATTCGCAGCTACAGAAAAATCCCTGGAGATAAATGTGAGGGAGGAACTGTCCCTGATCGTAAAGAGATCGACCTCAGACAGAGGTGTGTCGGTGACCAGGTGACCTCAGACCTTCAGGTCAGTACCCCTGCTAAATAAAATGTTCATTTGATCTATGATCATTTTGGCATTCTTCCTACATTTGTTTTTCTGTTCTCTACAGAAAAGCAGTCACTCCTCCAAGTCTGCAGCCATTGTGATAGCTGTGGTCCTCGTCATGCTGCTGAGCATTGCAGCAGGGGTGCTCTTTGTCAAGAAATACGTCTGCGGCGGCAGGTTAGTGTGCTCCTTACTCCTGCTACAATTAAAACCTGTCAACAAGATGACCCAAATAACTTCATCCCATCTGTTTTTAACAAAAGTGTTAGCCTATAAATTGTGTTTTGATTGTGCGCTGCAGGTTTTTGGTCCACAGATACTCTGTGCTGCAGCAGCATGTTGAGGCCAGTGCGACAGACGAGATGGATGAGCCACTGGAGACCGAACACGCTCAGAATGGCAAAATAGTGTTTCACGATGACTCTGATGAGGTACAATGAATTTCACACAACAGACACAAACACCAGGTTTTCTGTCAAACTCACATTTTCATACCAAGAATAATTTAGTTTTAAGAGTTGTTCTGTTTATAACAATACATAATACTTAGGTTTAATTATTACCTCCAACATTGGGAGTAAAGCTGCACAATATATTCATGTCATTTCAAAATGAATAATGCAAAGGACTGCAATAAATCACAAAGACACAAACTGCGTACTAATCAGACGCTCCTCTGCACTTAAAGCTCGCAGCTGATCTAAATCTTTCAGTAGACATTTTTAAATGCTGAATAGTATGAATAAGTTGTTTTTTCATAAATGGACATCATTCAACCATTCAAGTGAGGAAAAAAAATATTTATAATAAAGTTGTTCTCAATTAAAGACGTATTGTCTTATGAATCATTACGTCCAACAAACAAAACTTTCATTAAGTTCATAAAGTTGAGTTTTAAAATAACTTTGGATATGTTAACTAATGCTCCTGAGGGACAGATCTCAGACCAGTTAATAAATATGTCTACAAGGATATTCTCTCAGCTAACATATTGTTTTATTCAGCTTATTGTCTAAAAACACAACAACTTATTTTGTTAAACTGATTTTATTGTTCATGGTCATTGGTAGGGCTGGGCGATATGAACCCAAATTAATATCTCGATATTTTAAGAAAAATGGCGATATACGATATACATCTCAATATTTTTTTCTTTCCATAAAATAATAACAAAAATATATTTCTGAGTCAAAGCTTTGTGCCAGTTGTCACACAGGCACATTTATTACTAGCTATAACTGTACAAAGGCCCTGTGATGGACTTGCGGCCCGTCCAGGGTGTACCCCGCCCCTCGCACAGTGATTGCTGGACATGGGTACCGGCGACCCCCCGTGACCCAAAATGGAATAAACGGGTAAAGATAATGGATGGATGGATGGATATTAAATAATAATCTTCCGCAGCTGCACCGCCTTCACTGTTAGTAAGCGTGTGTGAACTGCAGCAGTGAGAGTCTGCTTGTGAGGGAGGAGGGGGAGGCTGCATGAAGTTGGCTGCACAGACGGGCAGAAAAATAACTACTGTCCACAGACTCAAGTCTTGCAGTGAGAGGAGGTAGCGCCACGTTAATAAAACAGCTTCTTATCATATCACTAAAGACACGATCCTTAGCGGCTAACAGCCGACTTGTTAGCCGCTAAGGATCGCATCTTTAGTGATATAAGAAGCTGTTTTATTCACGTCACCTCTCATAAGACACAGCACAGGTAAGAGTTTTGTACCGTAGTTTGTCTCAGGGAAGGAAGCTTCACAGCTAGAGCTGCAGCACCAAGTTTAACACACGCTTCATACTCCACTTATGGCGCTGCTTTAAACAGTGAAAATGATTTGTTGTGCTTGAACATTTTCGTCAGGACTTATTTTCGGCATTTTTCTGTTGCACATCTGACAAATTAAATCCGAACAATCTCCAAATAACAGAGCCATTTTTTCCCCTGCTCACCAGTTCTGCGACTCGCTCTCTATCCTTTTTTTTTTTTTGTGGCTGCTACGTGCTGCAGGGAGCTGCTCCACCTGGAGAGAAGCAGGAAGCAGAGGGAGAGTGCGCGGGTAGGGGCTGAGTTTGGAGTGAGTGAGGAGGGTGGCCATGTGTGAGTAGAAAGAACAGCAGAACTGGTGGATTTTCTAGTAGAACTATATTGTTTATATTGAAATAATGTCAATTTATATTGCGAAAAAAATCTATCGATATTTAAAAAATATTGAGATATCGCCCAGCCCTAGTCATTGGTCTGCAACCTTTACAAACAGAAAAGCCGTTCCTGCCTTACTAGTTTGTCTGAGATTGAAATCAAGATATTGCAGCTCATTAATAGGTTTTGTATAAAGACCACTTAAAAATAGTTTTGTTAGATTTTGACATGTAAGATTTGTAATTATGACTTTTAGCAGTGTTTTTATACGTTAACATAAAATAAGTTTTGTTTCTGCACCCTTTGATAAAGTTTGCTGGAACATGCAAGCCTTTATGAGTCTTTTCTATTTGTGATGAATAGTAAGTACCGTAGTCCCTTTGAAAACTAAAGCTTAATGTAAATAATAAGACAGATGTTTTTTTTTATAGATGCGAGTTAAATTTCCTCCAATAAAAGAACAAGCTTTCATTTATTGCAACTCAATATAATTTTTAAGACAAGTATTTGTTTCTAAAACTCAATGTTCAAAAAATGATTTGCAATTTTTTTGCAGATCACCTTATTTTTATGATTTATAATATAGTACTCCGTGTGCAAAACTGTACGTCGTCTCCCCTTCTTTGTGTTTTGCATTAATGGAATCATTCTGTCACAGAAATGGTTCACTCACAAATTGCAGGATACAAAATAAGAAAACCTTTTAAATCAAGCCTTTCCTGTTGTGATTATTAAAACCATCTAAACTATTATTTCCATGTTATGTTTGATCAATAAGGAACCACAGGTTGGGCCCAGGGCCACAAACTGCAGACCCATGTTGTAGATCATAATTACTCTGCTACATATTACAGCAGTGCTGAGCTCTGCTTTTATTCTGAAAGGGTTCTGTGCATGGTTGTGACACTGATGTGTGAACAAACACATATTGCCTAATGACTCAACCGTTGCTGCAGTTATTGCTGCTTCGGGAACTTTCTGCAAGACAACATTTTAACACAGTTAACACACACAAAGTAACAGCCTCACAATGTTTAAATGACCCCAGTTATTGTTAACGGGTAATTATTCTGGTCTTTGTGTCAGATTCTGGTTAGAGCTAGGGACAGGACCAGGCTCAGGTTAATTTGAGTCAATAAGTAACATGAAACAGACTTTAGCTCACTCAGATTCAGTCTGAAAGCACTGAAATCTGACGCCTATACAAAAGCAAGCTGGAAAAACTTGCAGCGGTTTTCACAAGAAGAAAGAGAAGAAGGGTACTTTCAGGTTTAGATGATGCAGATGGAGGTCAGTTTGGTTATAGAGTTAGATATGTGTAAACACAGCCATCATTTTGTTTGCTCTCCTCTGTTGGTTCTGGCTTCACTGGTATGCTCTCTAATGTTTGAACAGGATATGCTGGAATAGCAGGCGACACCTGTTACACAACTGAGCAACAGGTTTCCCGTCCACCTTGTGGTCGGTTGCTGTTCCTGTCACTCTTCTCTCCGGTTACTTCCTCCTTTAACGCCTGAGTAGAAACGGCAGCACTGGGACCAGACGCTCTGCTGGGATCTGCGAAGCTGACTGAATGTTCGGATACTTCCTGAGATTTAACGCTGCAGCTGAGGAGAACCATGAAGGAAGTCCTGTTAGGTTTTAGCTAAATGTTTAGTTTTTTAATTGCTGAAATAAGGAACTGATGCAGCCCAGCGTCAGACAGAACCAGAGCAGGCTTTGAAGGAGAACTAGTTGTACAAATCTTCCTCCTCTGCTTACCTATCACCTAAGACATCACCTGGAAGTTCTCACTTCTGCTGAAGATTTGTTTGTATTGTAATGCACTTGTAAATATATATTTGTTTCTTTCACATTTTTTTATTTTAATCTGGTGGACAATGAAAAACCTCTCTGGCTAATATTTCTCAGATCACTTAAGTCTTAATCCCTACTTTTTATTGAAATATTTGTTAATGTTTCCTATTTGGTATAAAATTTGGTTTTTAGCTTTACTGAATATGAAAGCTCCAACTTTAATCAATACACAGAATACAGACTTCAGACTATCAGAATACCTTTAGCACAAGCAAGATGTTCCATTTCTAGTAGGTTTGAAAGCAATAAAAATTATATTTAGCATTTTGTCCATGCATGCTAAGTAATTCTTTTGGCACAGCACCTCTTACTGTCTGTTTGTTCTGTGGTGGCTCCATTGCGCAAAATAAATGTGTCGATGCCCAGAATGGTAAAATGTCTGTTTTAAGACAGTTGGTTTAAAACTTTGACTGCAGCTTTTACTCCTGAAAGCACAAGATTCTTTGTATATTGGAGTTTGTTGAACACGTTTCCTAAATATGATCTATCATGACAGGAGTGAACACTGTAATCATTTGGATGCCATATTTGTAATCATATGAACTGGTTTTCTACAAGATATGTAACATATATTTTGCGACACTTAACCAAAATATAATTTGGCGATGGAAACTTAGAAGCAATGCAGGAAGCTGTAAATGTTGTGTAGCATAGTAATTGTTGTAGCCTGTTTGAAAATCAACAGATGGCTTTGGATAAGCTGCGACACAAGCATCCTTTTTTTTTTTTTTATGCATCTGACAAATCTAAAATTACAGGATTATTCCTCGTCTTGTACAATGAACTACTGTTAGTTTTTAATGACTCAAGTCCTTCATGATGTGTAGTCTTTTTTTTTTCCTTTCTTTTAAACATTTACTGCAGTTATTTGTCTATAATGTTACATACTTTGTTTTGTGCAGGTTTAATTTATTTATGACCAGCTGGTACAGAGTGCAGTAAACTGGATGTGGTTGTTTAAGTGCCTGGTTTGATAATCTAATGTGGCCAGCATCGATTATATATAAGCTAATAATTAATTGGTTTAGTCCATTTTGTCCGAGTTGATCTGGAGTTTGAGCAGCACATTTTATACGAGCTTCCACTAAAAACTGCATGTTAACTACTGAAATCACTTTTTTAAAATAAAGTAATTCAAAATAATGTGAGTCTAGTTAGTTAGTATTAAAAACAAGTTTAGCTGAGGCGGTTTTACGGGGAACTAAACTTAATATGAAAAACGAAGAGGGATCAGGTTACTATGTAGCTGCATTACACTGGAAGACACCTGACGAGGTGAATAAATGCTTTACTGTATTTTGTAAAGGTTACCTTAGTTTCCTTACTGCTAGACTGCTGTTAATTTAAGTCCTTTGGAAAGTTTTGAAAATATTCAAAAAGTTTGACATAATTGCTGTTATTCATTTCTGTATATATGATGCAATTACCTTTTGGGTTTGACAATAAATTCATATCTTCCTCTTTTGTTTGCATTTTTTTTCTCATGGACATAAAACTACAAAATAAATTAGGCTGAATATGAAAAACTGAACATTTTATTAGGTTACAACTAGGTCAAAATGTATGCTTTGTTCATGCACAGAATTTTTCAGGTTTTATAACTTCTATTTTCTGTAGATTTTTTTTTTTTATTACAATATTTACTGGTGTTTTGTTAATGTTTTTCATTTTACAAACAAATAATTAAAAATTTCAGTTAGCTTTAACATTTGTTTACGACTTATGAACATATGCAACAGTAAAAATCAATGCAGGAAGTCACGGAGCTGATAAGTATTTTGACACTCATCCTACACCTCAACACTACACATTCTCATAATCTATAAAGAAAGGTTCCCTCTTCGTCAAAGAATTCATTGCCAGCCTGCACTGCAGGAGGAGGTTTATCCATTTCCAAAAACTCCTCAAGTTCCTTCTCTGTCAGCACCTGCCGATCCCAGATCTCCTCCTCTTCCAAGTCCTCCATGAGCTGGGCACTAATAATGACCTCGTTTGCTAAGGACCTAATCTGGGTGGCATCTTCACGTTGCTCTCTTGTCAGCTGGGTGGTGGGAACAGTGACGGAGGTTAGACTTTTACCTGAAGGGTCTGAGCTCTTTCCTTGAACCAACTGAGCCTGACCAGTCACAGAGATCAAAGCAACTTCTTTATTCCCTGATGGGAGAATAGCTTGCGTATGACCTTTAGGCAATTTCAGTTTGCCCTGTTGTGTCCCTGCACCTGAAGGCAACATCTGCTGCTTATGTTGAGTCATGACTTTGACATCCTGCTTGGCCTTTCTGTCAGAAGAGGGGGTAAAACTACTACTAAGGACCCTGAAAATAACATCTGGGGTGACAGAGAAGCCCTCAGCCAGGCGCTCTACGGTCCACTCTTCTGGCTGCTCTCTCTTCAAATATCTAAAAAAAAAAAAGTGCAGGAGCTTTGTTTAAATGGGTGCTTATACAAAAGTCCTTTGAACTGGTAAGACAGAGCACTCTCACCTTATTTGTTCAATAGAATCCCATGTTAACGTCCTTTGAGGGGGTCCTGATGGAGTCATCTTCCTCCTCAGTATATGGTACTTTACTGTCCTCTGCCTCTTCTTTTGAGCGCTAACATGAAAACATGGGACAAGATGGTCGAAATGATATGACATAGCACACACGCTGCATTTTCCATGTGATTATAGTTTATATTTGTAAAACGGAATAGCTTTTACTCATGCAAAGCCTGGAGCTTGTCCTCCACATCATCCAGCTCCTGCTCTCCATCATCTCTGTATTTGAGTCTGTGGGCGGCCCCTTTTCCATACGCATGTCCCATCCATGAGTTACGGCTGTCTTTGCTGGCGAACCTGCAACGTTTCAAAGAAGCTGAGGGGATTGCTGAAGATGGAGTACAAAGCCTGGAGAGCAGTGAAAAGACCTGAAGATGTCGGGCCATCATGCTCAGAGACGGTGGATCATACTAGTTAGCTTGCTATGCTAACAAGAAATTGTGTCAGTGAAGATTAGCACTAAAAACACAGACTTCCGCTGTTTAGAGAAAAATATATCGTCCTCCCCTAAAGTTCAGAGGGGTATTTTATAATTATTGTACTTAAATTTTACAATTGGGTTTAAACTAAATGCCTCCGCTCCTTCACATGTATATTCCGTAAAAGGGCACGTGAAAGTACTTCCGCACACACTGCTATGACCTTTAATGCGCATGCTCAAGTTTGCATTGTAGTTTATACTTCCGGTTCACTGAACTAGTTTTTCTCATAGATCGTTCATCCATCCATCCATCCATTTTCTTTACCCGTTTATTCCATTTTGGGTCACGGGGGTCGCTGGTGCCCATGTCCAGCAATCACTGTGCGAGGGGCGGGGTACACCCTGGACGGGTCATCATCTGTCCTTATTTCAGCAGTGCGGTGGAGGACGGAATGTGACAAGATGAAATAAATAAATACATAATACAAACATAACAATTAAATAATATATAATTTATATATATATATATATATATATATA